AATCCTAAGCAACGTGCAAGACAATATCCAATTCTTCTGTGGTATTTTTAATAGATTTGAGGGCACGGCGGTTCCTTGACTCACCAGGAATGCTTTGAACTTCCCATGGAACTTTGGAAGGAGACCTAGATGTATCGATAGAGTCTTGAACGCTGATTACAAATATGGACACTAAAACTGCTACGTGAACTTCCTAAGAAAGTTATGAGCCTTCAAAGTTGGCAAAAACGTTACTGAGGCGAGCTTACCTGGTGGAATCACAGTCGCCGTGGCTCTGCGCCAAAAACGAGACCATATTCATATATAACTTTATAGAACAAGTTCATTTTAACAAGCATTTTAACAAGTTCTTTATGGAACAACATTCCCTGGTCAGTCCTTTGTCCATAGTTCCTCAACAATACATCTAATAATAACACTTAAGCATTTATTCCCTGATACATACACCGCGCTAACCTGAGTTGCACTGCTCCAAGAAGACCTCTTTGGGAGCCCCTCGGATAGGAAACGAGATACAGTAACCTGGATTGCATCAAGCACTCACTGCTGGTATAAGTGTTCACCACAGCACTTATTACTCGCGAACCAGGGTTTTTCGTGCGTCAAACCCTTGGTGCATCCCACTGTGCTGATACTCATGGCTACGTGTTCTTCATCCTAGAGCTTCAGGACTGAGCGCTGTAATCTTAGCTCAAAAACTACCCATCTAACTATCTTGATGCAAGCTTTCGGCTTTTTTCATTCATAACCGTGAAGCAGATGTGATGTTGAACATACAAGTAGTTGAATCATTCATTTTTATTTGAAAAAATCGTCAAAATTTGAAATCCGTTAATTACATGGTGACTATCAGTCGACATGAATTTTTACATATAAACACGGCATTATTCCTGAGTAAGCTGCTTAGTGGTTGGATTCGTTCCACTTTGCTTTTGCCTGATCCTTCAACTCTTCAGCCTTAAAAATAAATAAATAAGTTTATATGTAACAGCAGAATTTCGAGAACCACCAACCTTGTCTCCGACTCTTTCGGCGGCGTTCTTGACAGCTCGACCAGCATCATGCATCTTTTCCTTGGCTGCATGTCCGAGCTCTTGAGCCTTGTTGCCGGCATCATTACCATGGCATCTTCCGCTCTGAACAGGGTGACCATCAGCACAATAATCAGAACTGGTATATTATATCGCATAAAAATTCGAGTATTTGAAAACTTACGTTGCAGTCCATTTTTGTAGCGTTGTAAAGTGTGGGTTATATCTGAAAAGAATGACTATGAATTGCAAAAATGTACCAGAAAAGGATGACTGGAAGAGAGAACGAAAAGGCAAAAGCTGTGAAAGGATTGTCAGATAAGTAGAAAGGAGATTCCTATGGAAGCTCAGCCTTGCCTTTGGAGCCACCAATTAGGGGCCGATGATGATGAGCGTTGTCCAGCCCTTTTATACCGATCGTGGTTGTTTACGCAAGGTTCTGGGCGGCCACAGTTTCGCCGTCGACGACCGTTGATCACTGTTTCGTCGACGAAATCATCGGCACTGTTTCTTAGAAAGTGACGTACAGATGTTTACGAGAGATTCCATATGGGTACAGGGTGGCTTGCGGAACTGATGGCCTTGGCCTAAACAGACCATCACGGCGCTAGTTCAAGATCCAAATGACCAGTGATTAGTTCTCACGTGTTTCTTAATGTAATAGTAGTTGCTTGGTGGAGCTGGAGTAACTGTAGTTGGAACCACAACCGCAGGCACGGTCCAAGATCAGGACCTGGTTCAAATATTGCCCAGGCCAAGCAAGCCTTTCAGTTTTCTAGAGTCGGTAAAAACTTGGTGCCAAGAATTTTCTTGCGTACAGAAATACTGGTTCGATATACCGATGTCTGTAGGAATTGTACTGGTGTCACACTTATCGTGGCTCTGAGAGTACCTCTACCATGAAAAAGTTAGAGGTAAATCTTCACCTTCCGAACGGAAAAATGTTTGACGGATAAGGTTATCATCCAAATCTTAGGATTTCTGTTTTTTGATGGAAGAGCCATTTATTAAACCATTACGCAATTTTACCTGCGGCGTAGGGCGCAAAAATGCGTGGAAAGTGGCACTCTTTATCGCGTACACGGTCCGTAGATCAAATTATGGCTCACACTCCGTTCGGGTTATTCGAGCCTTCCATATCTCCGGGTCGGTTGATTGGTTACCAGAGTTACTTCGTTTTTGAGCGTAGGAAAAATGGCTTCTCTGGCGCTACCCCATTCTACCAGAAGTGTGCCGGGGGTGTTTTCAGGTAACTCCAGCGTGGCTCGTAGCGAGCCTAATCCTAACTTAACCTTGACTTAGACTTATGCATGAGCAGTATGGCCTAATCAAAATGCTATTAGAAGCTTCCAGCCGTAGTCCATGAAAACTGCGGTAATATGTCCAAGAATCTCACGTCTGTGATGAAAATCGCGAACATTACCCTTAGAATGGTGGCACCTTCGAGCTTTGAAGAAGGCGATCCGTTTAGAGCGCTAAGCGAATATGAATCGATTTTCACACCTGACAACCACGAAAGAAACAAGTTATAGCACTGCTTTATTATTTCTGTACATTGATATCTACAAACGCAAGTTCTCAAATATATACAAAGAGCAACGACAAACAGGACTCATGCTGCCACGGAAACTGTTTCCACGGAGGCGTCAGGAGCATGTGTGAATGTGTGCCGTGCGGTTCCAGCCCACAAACTGAATGGGGCGCGAATCTTGAGTTAGGGAGTCGTGAACGGACCAGTGACTGGCACCGGCATGGTTCATGAGAGGGAGGTATGTCGACTGTGGAGAGATCGAGTGCGCCGATGGAGCTGAAACATCACAGCCTCATCTGTGTATTGTACAACCGGAGAATGAAGTAATGGTTACCTTTTCCTTCAGCGATCCAACAGTGACCTGAACACGATCAGCGAAGGCACCTGGGGTTTCCTGCGCGGGAGGGAGTGTTCGTGGGAGACGAGTGTGCCGGCGAACCTAGAGCCATTATTATTTACTTCAAAACAAGCAATGCAAGCAATGTAATGGACGAAAAGTAAATTTGTTTACCTTTCCTCCAAGCTCAGTTGGTCGCGTTTCATGAACAGGAAGATCGGTGGAATCCGACGCTTCTCCTTCTCTGGGAGGGAGTGGTTCGTGGACGACGTGAGAATCGATGAAGCTCAACTGGCTGAGTTGCTTCTACAGGGAGATCGGTGGAATCCGACGCTCCTCCACCTCTGGGAGGGATGGTTCGTGGACGACGTGAGAACCGATGAAGCTCAACTGGCTGAGTTGCTTCTACAGGTAGATCGGTGGAATCCGACGCTTCTCCTTCTCTCGGAGGAAGGGTTCGTGGACGACGTGAGAACCGATGATGCTAAAACAAACACGATTAAGCTACATATAGCACTAATATTATATGTATTCGAAGTAATGTGGTAGGTTACCTCTTCTCTCATTTCAGCAAGTTGTGTATGACCAATCGGGACATCAGAAGAATCTGAGGGTTCTCCAGGCGTGAATGACCGTGGAGGACGGGTGGGTCTATGCAGCTGCAAAATCTTATATTTTTACCATGGAAACATTTCATCAAAGTATAGGGAAAAATCGCTGTGGATGTTCCTCCCACCTCGTCGAGTTGGGTTGAGTCAGCGAATATGTTGGTGAGGTCCACGGCTTCCCTGGTGAACCCATGACCCACTGATGGAGGAAGGCGGGTATGGGGAAGATCGTGGTTGCTGAATGTCTGAAAAACTGCCCAACTATGTAGGTATTGCCGAAAGAATATAAATGATTGTAGGTTACCTTTGGCTTGGGCTCCTCACTTGGCTGAGGTAAGCTGAGGGCGATGGAGAGTAAGGCAAAGGTGAATAGAATAGTGAACTTCATGGTGTGCTGCCTATGAACGAAGGAGCTACCTTATATAGAACGTTCATGGATTCCTTATCTAGAGTCACGAGGCCGATCAGGATGTTTAGCTTACATGGTCAACTGTTCTCTTCGCATTGGTGCTTTAGATATGAGATAACCTACACGCTGTTTGGAAGAGTTTCAGCATCCGTTTCGTCCAATATCCCTTTCCCTTCTACCCCCCCCCCCCCCCCCCCATCAATAAGCCAGCTTCTCCTTCCTCCGCATCAATATAAGAACTGTAATGATCCTTTGGAATCAGGTTTTGGAAATTCTTTGTAGCTACATCCTGAATTTTTTTGTCCACTTCTGCGCGCTCTTCCTTTGAGTTTCACTTTTCATCTGGTTGCAATTTCTTTCCGTGTTTTCATCCACGCATAACAGTTTTACTTCTGGCGTTTGCAAACCTTCGGTTCCACGATTTTCAAATCTTTTCGGCTGTGAGCAGAACTAGACGGGTATGCTTTAAACGAAGCATCTTCCTCTTTCCGCATTTCGTTATGTTTCCTATTCGCGATCTTTTTCGTCAGTTCGTCATCTCTCCAGAAACAGAAGACGTCTCTTTGTTGTTGACTTTGTTCTTTGAAGGACCACGAGTGTACCGATAAGAAAAACCAGCTATTTTTGTCATCAGCGTTCACGTCAACTTGGTAATGTGATATCACTCTCGGCCCGTTGTGACATTATCAGTGCTTTTGCAGAAGAACTGTTTGGAAGGTAGTACGCACAAATAACCAATGCGACTATAGAAAGTCGTTTGCCGATCGGTCCTTTTAATTAGATTTCAAAGATTTTCGGCGCTCCTCCCCGCCATGTAGACGCGACGGCTAGCTTTTAATCATTTTCTAACTATGAGTTGGTGGCTACTAATACGTTTATTACTTGTGAAATCCTCTTCATCTTTGTCTAGTAATATCGAACCTCATTTGGATTAGACTGTTCCTTCGGATTTTTTTTAGATTTGCTGACACGCATTCGACTTTGTACATTCGTAGTGGCGTTTGAATGCGATGTGGCCTATACAATGACTTGCGGGGGCCAGCCGATGTACAAGTCAGTGTTTTTATCCTCCCAGACAAGTCTGGTACCAATTAACCGACCCCGGAGGGATGGAAGGCTTGGTTGGCCCGGGCGACTCACGACCCAGGATTTGATCCCGGACCGCTCGCGTGGTAAGCGTGCCACTTGCCACTACACCACTTCCGCCCTAAGGGAGGAAAGGAGGGGTGGACAGCCGTTGAGCGAAGGGATGCGCACAGAGGCTAGTTTCCGTTCGTTGAGAGGAGACTTCAGATAACAGCTTATTCGTGAACTTTTCAACGACCTAAATGCCATGTTTTAGGCTCAATCGGATAGCATCCGCACATCGCAGGTCAACTGAAGATGTGTCTGCAATTCAAGCGTCGGAGGTCTCCTTTGACCGCTTGCTTTTTAGCCAGGCACTGAGTAAGAACCTCTGCTGTGAAGCCCGGGACCTAACCTTGAAGCCCTATGCATTCTGAATCCTGCTTTCGCAACCTTCTATGTATCCTGCAGTCGCATCTTTTTCAGATTTTCGCGCAACGTGTCAGGTGACAGCTGTGAAAGCAAGGTCTCATTTCTTCATGACGAACGGTCGAGCCATGTGCAGCGAATCGCTTCTTCAATGGCTGGCTTATCATTAGACAGCGACCAGTGCAGGAGGGAGCCTTAGTGAGTCTCACTTCATTATAAGCTTCTCCATTCGTCGTGCTCAGTTACCACTACACGACCAACACACGGACAAGCAGATCGTCCTCTCGTAACAATATTCAAGAAATCTATCTGTCGAAGCGCCAAAGGAAGTGGGTTTTTCCAAGCACGCGTGTCATCGCATCTTCCCATCTGTCCGATTAGTAAGGAAACTCGACTTTCTCTTCTCCTAATCAGTTCTACATTATTTATATTTACATGATCAAAACAGCAGGAATACGCGACCATCTGTCAAGCCCATACTGCAGGAAAGAACATAGCGACGAGGGCATGACGAGGCCAGCCCCGCTACGGCGCCACTCCCGAGCCCGGAACGATAGCCATGTCCCAGCTCAGAACTACTCACAGCCAGGGTCAACCGTCCGTTGGACAAAGTCCAACGCGACGACGAGAGTAATGCCGAGAGTGAACGTACGCACGGAGACACAGACGGCTCGCGGGTGGCGAGAGTGAATGCCGGCGCGGAGAGCGGTGAACATCGGTCCAACGTCGCTCCAATATCGGTCCAACGTAACGGTTGACCCTGTCAAACTCGACTAAGTCTCACTTCTCGTTCGTGTAAACAGTGCCTCAGAGCTTT